GGGCACACATTAAAGGTTCTCCTTTTCGACCAGTGCTTTTGGGGGGTCTTCTCTGTTGTGCATTTGCTTGGGTTTAAGGCAAGTAAAGAATTCACAAAAATTTTATAGTTAGAATCTTTCTTTACCTGGAGGCAGAAGTTTATATTTTTCACTTAATATTTCTAGAAATATCAGAAACAGCTGCTGAAGAAAACTGCCTGTTTTCAGAAAAAGAGAGGAAAGTTTTCATTTCAGATTTGAAGTGACTTTTGCTTTCTTTAAACACACCTACTAAGGTCTAACTTCCCTTTTTCAACTTTATACAAATTTTTTTTTTCATACAGGGGACAAAAATTAGAGCCTTCTGCATTTTGAATGCCAGACTTCTGAAGTGTCTAGTAGTCCAGCGTGAAAATTGCCAAGGAAATGAGGACAAAAAGTGTTTTAACAGACAGACAGATATTTGTTATCACAGGAAAGAATGAGGTAATTTAGTTCATCTAAAAAACCCTGATCACCAAGAAAAACGAGACAACGTATACACATCCCCTAATTACCAGGGACATGAGCACATCAGAGGAGTTTCCTAGGTTGAACAACTCACAAACTGCATGTCCTGGGGCCCTGGATTTGGCTGCTGCTGCCCAAAAGATCCATTAAAACAAAGTTGTGTTTCAGCACAAGGATGACTGAGGGCACAACCAGGACCCAAACAGTAAAGGCTAAAACACAGGCTGAAAATAACTTCCAGGAGAGAACAGACACTCTGGGGCAGGATGGGGTGGGGTTTCTGCTCAAAAGAGGAACCACAACTGAAGCAAAATTATCATGTCACCTTACAGCCCCAGCAGCCAGCCCTGGGATGGCAGCCAGCTCTCCTCAGCTGTCGGCAGGACAACAGAGCACATCCCTAATTACAGGGTGAGTCTCCCAGGCTGAGACTAGTTCTTGGGGACATGGGGGAAGGCAAATGGTCCATGAATTTCACTTACCTAATTGTCCCCCGGACTTATACTTTGCAGTTCCCAGCTCTCTCTAAATCAAGGATGTTTCCCAAAGCACTTTTTGGTACACAGTGTGATAACGAGACACAGAGGAATCCAGCTTAATGTCTATTCACTAAAGTTCCATAAGGCAAGTTCATCATTGTCTGTGCTGCGGGGCAGGAGATCAACTCAGGGAACTGGGAGGAGAAAATCCCCAAACAATGAGCCACCCTGTGGCAATGAGCTCAGTGTCTCTGGGAGGGATGGATCTGGCTGCTGCTGGGGGTGCTGGGAGCCAAGCACCAGCGCTGAGGAACTGGGGCCAGAGGAGCTGTAGGGAGCAGGATCCTGGCAACAAAAGCTGGGTGCTGAGGGGATGAGCTGCAGCTGTGCAGGGACCCACAGCCAGCACGTGAATCACCACCCTCACGCCTGGCAGGGTCATGAGCTTCAGTGGGCTTTGACTCCTTTTCTCGCATTGCTCAGCAGCACCCACAATCTCCTGTGACACCCCCATCAGCTGCCAGCATTTTATAACCTAACTGCACATGTATACTGAGGAAAACTACTGAATTTTGCAGCAGGGAGCCTTCCTCAGCCCTTGCTGTAGGGCTGGGGGCTTGCTCCAGCCTGCTGATCCACAGGGAGGTTTTGGTACCTTTAGGCAACACACAGTCCTCTCACATCAGCCTCATCCAACACAGGACAAAAATCTTTGGGGTGGCCTTTCACCAGGAACCCACTTTAACTCAGAGTGTGTTGGAGACAGGAGAAGAGGAACAGTTCTGGGAATCAGCTAAAGTTGTTCCTTCCTGCAAAGCAATGGCTTTGCCTCTAAGCTTGGAGCATCTCTCCAAACACAAGGAGTGCAGCCTGCATAAGTGGCTGTGAGTAATCTCCTTTGGCTGGTATTTTGCTGAGTTTATCATCTTTTAACTTTGTGATGACCTTCCTGAGTGACTGCAAATGTTGGAAATTGCACAAGTCCTGAAGGCAGAGCTGGCAGCATGCGATGAAGCAGCTGTCAGGGGCATCCCTCCAGCTCGAGGTGATGGCAGACTCGAAGTGTTTTAATAACGCCTCTGATTGATATTTCTATCTAAAATAATAAAGGGGATAAAAGAAGAAGTGCCCAGTGAGAATGTGGGCAACACTTTTACAACATGCTTTCTGGAAACTTTGTAGCATTTCATAAAAAGTGTGATGATGAAACTCCCACTTGCACCATGTCACCAGAAGGAAGCCCTCTGCCCAAAGGCAAACAGACCTGATAGGTAATATCAGGTAACATACTGTAGGCCATAATGCAGCCAATAATCTTTAGTTCACAGCCAAGGGTACCCAGTGCATGATATTTTACGGGATTGGGCTGAAAGTCCCTCATACTGGGTGACACCCAGTCACCTGCTGGTCTGGCTGGGCCCTCGGGTGCCAGATCCCACCAGGCTGACCGGCTGCATGGGGCTCGGGGGCATCTCCAGAAAACCTGCTCTGCCCTCTGCTTGGCTGTGGTACCAACCGGCTCTATGAACTCAGTTACACAGGCAAGGAAAAGTTTTATTGTTTCCCTGAAAACCATGGAAACAAGTAATGATTTATAGTGATTTATTGATAGACTGATTCTGACACCTCAGGATATTCATGAGAAAAGTGGACAAAAGACAGGATGCTGACTCATGGGAAGAAATGGAGAAAAAAGATGACGTTGTTCAAACCAGTCTTCAGAGCACTGATGAAATTCTGGGAGACATATTAATGACAGGGAAAAGTACCTGTGGGATTCATCTGTTTGTTTTAACCTCCCCAGGGCAAGAGTTTTCCAGTTGTGGGCCTTCATGTATAATAAGTGCAACATTATTACTCACAAATCATCAGCTGGAAAGGAGAGATGTTATGTCAGAGGACAAAACCCGACACCCTCAACATTTGATTCAGCTTCATTGGAAATCTATCACCTCCCTGGCTGTTTTTGGAGTCCAAAGATTTCAGTGTTTGGAGGTATTTTGGCTACTCTGCTCTGTTTGACCACGGCAATCCAGTCATCAAGACCTATTTTTAGACACATAAATAAAGAAGGATTTTGGAGTGGATCCTGAAATGTCCTGAGCCTCAACAGGAATGTGGCAGTGGCACTCAGCCGGGCTCATTCACAAGGGCTTGATTTGTTCATTTGCTCAGAGCTCTCCATCCCAGAGTGTGCCGTGAGTCACATCTCTGCCCGTGGCCTCCCTCTGGGAGAGGTTCCAGTGGGGGGTCTGTGCTAAACTGAGGTCCTGCCCCGGCCCAGACAGTTCCACCTTCTATTGATGTTTCTGTGGCTGTGACTGCCGCAGCCCTGGCACAGCCCCCCCAGTCCCCTGCCAGGCTGGCAGCTCAGGTCCGTCAGGAAGGTGTTGGGGACACCTTTGCAGGGGCCCAGGGCTCAGGGCAGTGACCAGAGCTCGAGCTCAGGCTGCCTTATCTCATTTATTTGCTGTATTCTGTCGGCTGAGACATCGAACTCCTCAGCTGTTGCTGTGTTCGAGGCTCGAGGGGTCCCTGCCAAGGCACTGGCACAGCTCTAAAGCTCCAGCACTTGCACTAGCACGAGCAGTGTCACTGCGGCACACCCCGAGCGATGATGGTGCCTGGTTTATCAGCACCTGGGGCCTCTGGAATTGCAGGTGAACGCCCAGGGACAGGTGGGCACAGGCACACGCTCCTTCTCCCACCCCGTTCTCGCCTCCTGCTGCGGGTGACTGAGCTCAGACCGGTGTCCCAGCGCTCCCTGGCGGCTCCCGCCGGCGGCTCCCGGGGCCGAGCCCGCTCCCCCCGGGACCAACCCCGCTCCCCCGGTGCCCTCCCTCGTGTCACTGTCTCCAATTAACGGCGCTGCTTTGGCTCTAATCGGTGGCCCTCGGTCAGCCCCGGTCATTAGTTATTGGCGCCTCGGCTCTGGGCTCCCCGAGACCGCTTGTGGTGATAAGCCTTGTGTATTTTCCTGCTTATTTAACTGAACTTCCTTGGAAACACCAGGAGCCGAGTGAGCTGGGATCTGCTGGGCAAACCCCACAGAATCACACCCCGTTACAGCAAGTGGGTCAGGGGTGTTCGAGTGGGCAGAGATCAGGGCACTTTCTCACGTGAGAAGTCAGTTCCATACCTGACTGAAACATTTTGGAACAAAGCAAAGCAAACCACCAGGAATAAATAAACCACCAGAGACATCAATCCCTGTATTTCATGGACAGGCAGAGGTGAAACAGCCAAGCCAGCACAGGTGTATAAATGAAGTAAACAAGCTGTGTTGGCAATGTTGCTTGTAAAGAATCACAAGACCTTCAATGATGCCAGGACCTCAGTGTGATGCATTCCAGCTGAAAAATAGACTCTGCTCTTCCTGGCCTTTTGATTTACAGTGGGTGAAAGATGGGATGGGACCCAGCCCATGTCATGCGCCCCTCCAGGTCCTTGGCCCTCCCAGGAGTTGCTAGCAGCTCGCTCCCCTCCAGGCTCCATCCTGCTCTCCCTGCAGTGTCCCTCTCTCCCATCTTTTTGTGGTGCCTCTCTCCCATCTTTTTGTGGTGCCTGTCCAGGACCAGACACTTGCCCACAAAAAGCCCAGGGGGTTTCTGAGGCTGGTGGGACACTTTACCTGCGAGGTGAATATCAGTACAAACCCCATTTACTCTTGTCCACATCTTGTCAGGAGAATATTAAAAATGAAAATGAATCTGGGACAGTTTAAGGGTCAGAGCTGATGGTACAGATGAGAGTTTGTTCTTCTATGAAAAACAGAATAACTTCTCATTTTGGTGTGTAGGACATCAGGCCCCTTGTTCCTCAACTCACAGACCAGTCTTTGTGTCATTGATGGCACTGTGCAAGTTAACACCTTTCTTGTAAGGAAAATCATCAAGAAGAAGCAATACCTGTACCTGAGTCAGGGATCAAAAATTTTAAAAAGGCCAAAGTCCACAGTAGCAGAAAAGTGGCAAACCAAGTAAATTGGTTTTACCAGCTTAATAGTTACCCAATTAGCTAATAATTACTCACTGGCAAGCTTATCTCCCGCACAACAAGCACTGGGCTCTTCGGCAATAGCAACAATCCCAAACGGACTCTCAGTTCAGGTGACCCCTCTGGCGTGTTCATCTGTGTTGGGGAGCAGAGTGCCCCTTGAGCAAACCCACCAGGGTCTTCTCGCCACAGTTAAAGCCAAAGTGAGAGGAACAGACAGGTTACCTGTCTAAGCCCTTGCTGTCCTGCTTGCAGATTTGCCCAGCGAGCCTGGGTCCTGCACAGTCACAGTGCACATGTTGTTACCAAGCAGCTCCTTCCAAACAAATCCGACCGATAACCAGTTTTCAAGAGTGGCAGAGCTGTAGCAGCCTCAGCAGTGCGTGGTTCCTGCTTTGTTCCTGCTTGGGGGCAGGTGAGGGAGAGCAGGAGGTCCCCAGCGAGGGGAAGGGAGACAGGGGATGGCTGAGGATCCCAGCAGGAGCACCAGGGAGAAATGCACAAGGAATCAATCAGGCCGTGCTTCTGCTTATTGAAGTGCTTATTGAAGAATAAGTATTAAATTCAAGGAATTGTCCTCAAAGAAGCCCATGCTCCTACCTGGACCAAGGCACCAGGCAAAAAGTGCTACCAGGACCAGCTATTGACTGCACAAGCTGCAGGGAAGTGCATGGGAATGGAACAGCCTTTGCAGTCGGGGCACATCCATAGCTGACTCCCCTCCTGGGTAATCACAGTGCTGCTTTGTGCAAAGGGCTTTTCATGCTGAAAGATGTCAAAACACATGGAGACAGAAGTTTTGGTTGTGGATTTGAGACTGCCAGGAGCAGCACTCTATGCTTTCTTGCTAATCCCCTCATAAGAGGGAATAGCATCTCCTTTTCAAAACCCAAAAGTTACACAAAAGCCACAGGAGAGAGAGGATCCTGAACCAGTATTTTATTGACTGTTATCAGCTCCCAAAAAACACTAGTGGATCAAATCTTGTTGTATTATAACCGCACAGAAATTTTGACAGAGCTCATATTAAAGCAAGAGCATCCAGAGAGAGGTTGTGTGTGATGAGGGTGAAGTTTGCCAGACTCTTGCAAAAACAACCATCTCAAAGAAACGATGTTTATGAGGCAGCCCAATGTTGCCAGACTGCATGTGCTGCGAGGAAACAATGTCAGTTTTCCTTCCAGGAGCAAACTGTCCCTCAGAGAACCTGGGCCAGGAGAGGAATGTCTGCCCACTGCAGAGGTCACACAGGCAGCTGTGGGTTTGAGCTTGGCTACACCATCTGTCCTTCCACAGGGACACTGACCCAATGTGCTGTCCTGCCAGAATAGACTCTGCCTGATTTATCCCAGAGTAATGAGTTTGGCAGTTCTCTAGGGGCGCATACTGCATTATTTAATCTCATTGATTTTTTCCAATGTAAAGAGAAGAACATTGGAATGAGAAGAAGTTTTACTAAGTTACTCACCATAACAATATTTCTTTGGGTTTGTGATTGGTTTGATTTCTTAACAAGAGACATCTTGTTTGCAAAAACCTCCAGATAGTGACATTAGGGAACTGCCATTTGCAGTGGCATGAATTCCCAGTTTTCCAGAAAGCAGAACACCAAACTTAGTAGTAATATATGGTTTATGCTGTAATTTACTTGTAACGCAAAATGAAAGGCTCCGGTGCTGCCTCTGTGGTGGCAGCTCCAGGAAGGATTCCACTCCAGCAGAACCAAAGTGAAGGCTCACACAGTGAAGCCCACAGGGAAAAATCTGTAAAACACATTTTCTGCAGGTGAATTCCAGCTGACACCCGAGCCTTGAGTGCTTGTTCTCTGAAGGGACTTTTCTAATTCCATTTCCTCCCCTCTAGGCACATCTTCTGCAGACTAATTCCTGCAGATGAAGAGGACAAGTGAGCACTGTGCCTAATATGGGAGCCCTGACCTGAAGCCTTTAGTGCTGGCAATGCCACTGGGGTTTGCAGTGTCCTGAGCCACACCAGGTCCCTGTCTCTGTCCCAGCTGCTGTTGTCCTTTCCCTTCCCACAATTAGCTTAGGAAGAAGAAAGATTCTTGTTGCTCTTATTCTTTCCTCAGCTTCACAGTTTCTTTTTGAAATGCCAATACATTCTCAGGTCACATATTCTTTCACCCATCAAAACATCTTGATTTTCAAATTTAAGCAGCCTTTCACCCAAGTCTGCAGCTATGGCACAGTGCCAGTCTGGATGGAAATGCCCAGCTGTAGACATGTAGTTTGGATTATTTTGCATAGGAAGGATGAAGCTAATTTCCTTTTCACCGTCTTTTGAAGCTCAATCCTTTGCCATCACAAAGGCCAAGCCAGGACTGAATGGACACAAAGAAACTGGTTATTCTTTCTGAGAAAGAGAAAAACACAACCTTGGTGGATTTTCACAGCCATAGGTTGAAGTTGGCCACGTGTTCCCACTGAGTCTCTCTCACCTGTGACCCAAACCCTGCTCTGAAACACAGGGGCTGGCTCTGCAGAGCCCCCAGAGCAGCAGCTGCCAGCACCCACTGTCCTGGCACTCACATCCCCAGGGATTCCAGCTGTCCCTTAGGTTCAGGAGGCACCACTCGGACCAGGAGCAGCGCTGCTGGCAGCGCTCCATCACCACTCCAGCAGCGGAACACAGGGGGCTGTGGCACTTTGAGATGCTCAGTTTTACTGAGTGGGGAGTACATGAAGGCTTACAAAGGAGCTCTCTCATCCAGGGCCAACTTCTCCTGTTTCCTACCTTTTGGGTTGAAAACCTGCAGCTCTGTTTCAGCACAACATTGGTTCTATCTCAGACAAAGACGGGTCCCAAGTTCCACAGGTGCCGAGTGGTTGCCGCTGCTGCCCATGGGATAACTCCAGGACAGACAGACAGACTGACCTGACAGGGAAGGGCTGCCAGGCTGGCAGGGAAGCCACTAAGGATGCAGTTCTTGAGGACTGATAAAAGATAAAGTATTATTGAAAGTGAAAAAAATTAGATTTTATGTTAAGAAATGTCAATTAATGAAGTTAAAGCCCAAACGGCCAAACCACTGTGGGCACAGCTGGTGTGTATATAACCAGTGTGGCTTCCTCATGTTTGCTTAGATCATGAAAGGCTTTGTGTACTGTTAAAGAAGTCTCTTAATTTTTTTCTGACTGTTCCACTGAAAAATATATTTGACAACCCTCATTCTGAAGCCCACACTGGGCAGTTCATCCCTGGAGAATTTTGACACCTGACAGGATGAGGTCCTGAATGACCCAGTCAAAGGTTGAAGTTTCTGTGCCTTCTGGCACAGGAAGGCTGTGGAAGGCTGACTAGATGGTCTCCACAGAACTTTCCAACTCTATTTTCCCCATGATTCTGCAATCACAACATGATGCTGCCCAGCTGTCAGGTGAGGGCTTCAGCTTTCTGCCACAATTGGCTGCACACTGGATATGTCTGTCTTTGCAGAGTTCCTCTGAGAGGGTGTCTGTGCCTTCTGACAGGCACTGCCTCTTTTGTCCCGGCAGTTCTCAGCCCAGGCGTGCTGGAACGGGGGGGAGATGGACTGCAGAGCGTGGCCCTGGGCCGTGGCCCTGCGCCGGCACACGCACAGCAGCGCCCGGAGCTCCGCGCGGAAGCTCTCGTTCAGCCAGCAGTAGATGAAGGGGTTGTAGCAGGTGCTGCTCATGGCAAACCAGTGAAAAGCGAAGTACAGAGCGTTGCTGCTGTGGATGGCCCTGCAGGAGATCAGCACCACGTAGCAGTTCAGGGGGAACCAGCACACAGCAAACACAACCACCACCACCATCAGCATCTTCAGCGTCATCTTCTTCTTTCGCTGATGAGCGTAGTATTGCTCCATGGTGAGGTCCCCAATGGCATTCCTCAGCCAGAGCTTCTTGGCCACCATGGTGTATGTGATGGAGATCACAAGCAAGGGCAGGACATACAAGAGAACAAACGTAGTCAAGTCCAAATACTTCCAGAAAAGGTCAGCAGGAGGAGGGAAGCTGGGGAGGCAAACCATTCGGATGGTTCTGTTTCTGAAGATCAAAGAGAGAAAGAAATCTCAATTCCACTTACAGCTATACACACCTGAGGGCAAACACCTCAGACATTCAAACAAGTTTCAGTTCAGGTATAGGTAGCAGAACTCATTTGGTATCATGGATAGGTGTCACTCTCAGTGGAAAATTTTTCTCTAGGTTTGACCTTTGGCCCCAGTGAAGGTATCTTAAACACACCCCCAGAAAAAGAAAGAAATCATCCATAGTGACATCTGTGCCCTCTACTAGCAAGTAGTCCCTCTCTCCTCTGTGCCTGCCCCAAATTACAGGGTTGAATCTCTGAGTCCGAAACAACTAATGAACCAGCCTGGAAGCAATTCCATCAATTGTCATTGTCCCTTCATGAGAGACACAGTGTTCAGGCAAAGGGAAGGACAACTTCTCTGTTTCACCACCCTTTCTAGTAAGATGAATGAAGAGGTGTGGCCTTGGCATATGTGGGGCTTTGATTCAGCTGCAAACGTCATATAACAAAAATCACCATGTAAATGTCTTACCCAATATAAAACCTTGTCAGAGTCTGATAAATGGCGTGAGGCAGCGAGAAGCAGCTGGCCATAACCCAGATGATGATGATGCAAATCCCTCCTTTCACCATGGACATGCGTGGCTTGAGAGGGTGCATGATCACCTGCAGAGAACAACCACTCCTGAGGATTTACAGCATCTGGGTTACTCTTTGAGCCTCATATTGCAGTGTGGCAGCTTCACATGCCTCTGGTGTTAAAAGGCAGAGAAACTTATTTTACAGGACTTCAGGGAGTACAAGGGCTGGGAAATGCATGGAGTTGTGCACGTATTGAGTGCTGCTGCTGGCCCAGAGTCTGATGCTCTGTGACACCCATCAGTGTGACTCCAGAGACCACGGTGGTGAGATCTCTGTTGAGCTACATGCACTGTGGGGAATTACATTAGGCAATGAAACAATAATTAAGAATAGACCTATCATATCATCCAAACGATCTCTTGGTTGATGAAGTCTTTGGTATTTTATGCATATTTTCTCATTATAAATATCTACTTAGTGAAGTAGTACAACTTCCATGGAACATCCGTCTGCTCTGGTACCTCTCAGGACTAGCAGTATTTTTAGAGGCAAGTGTTGATTTCCCTTGCTGAGAGACATCTCCTTACTTCTGTCTTTATCTCCTTGGGCCATACTAGCTCATTCCAGTTCTGAGGAACCATCTCCACTGAATTTAAGGATGGGTATTGTGTTTGCCCTTAATTAAACAAACACTTCTTGGTGCCTAGCCGTGCCTTGCAATCAACCCAGGATCTACTGATTAAAATTAAACCACTATCAAAATGCTTTGATTTCAGGAGCTGTAATGTTGCACATGAAACAGGCAGACTGTCAAAGTCTTTATGGTAAAAAAAGACTGAATTGGCTGATCTGTGCTCCAGTAGTCCCTGTGATTCTCTGACACCAGATGGAGCCCATCCCCGAGTGGAACCCAGTCTTGTTTTGCACTTCATCCAGCCATATCACATGACATTGCTTTTCAGTAACAAATGTTTCAATGGCTCCAGCACTGCAAGAAATCCAGGTCTGCCTGAGAGCTCACTGTGCTGGATCTGCCCTCGCAGTGCTCAGCATTCATCAGCTAAAGCACAAATTGCAAACTGTGTTAAAAGGAAGCTCTTTGATCTGCACTCATTGCTTGGCCTGGAAGGTTCCTTGAACTGGATGGGCTAACATAGCTCTTGCTGCTTCCAGCCTTAGGCATCCTGAAGGAATGGGACAAGCCTCAGAACTAACAGACTCTCAGAAATCCATGTGGAGAGAACGTGTGGGCTGGCTGATGTTTGCATGCAGCACATGATCCTGTCGTGCTGTCAGGGCTGTGCTCCCCAGTGGGGCTGAGAAGGGCAGGGAGTCCACGAGCCCAGGAGCCCAGGCAGAGAAGGAAGGGAGCAGGCTGCCAGCACTGATCTCCTGGGCTTTTCAGTGTCTCCAAGGACAGGGACTCCACACCCTCTTCGTTTATCACACTCACTGTGAAAAACATGGGTGTTTTGTCTTCTGCCATGAAAGCTGGAGTTCTTCCCTCCAGTCCCTGAGTCCCAAGTCAGTGCAGCTTTCCAGGTACTGGGATTTGAGGGGGAAACAACCATGTATTTAGTCCCTTATTTTCTTTGAAACATAGGGGTGGTGAATACGACATACCTGGTGCCGGTCCAGAGCGATGGCAGCAAGGGTCAGCACAGACACGTGGACGGAGCAGTACTGAACAAACCGGCTGATGTGACACATCAGCTTTCCAAAAACCCAGGTGCTGCTCACAAACCGCACCTGAAGAACAGACAACGTTGCATTAACAGGACCTGTACCTGAAGAGCAGCAAACTGGCTTCCCAGGCACATGGCACAGAGGAAATGTTTTAATACAGCTTCCCAAGGCTTTGTAGGTGCTTTATCCTCAGTTTTTCCTGTGGAAACAATGACTGTGCAAGGGGCTTTGAAGCAGCAGTGAGATTGAGCAGTGCCCTGTGTCTGTGTTTGCATGTGCATGTGTGCACGTGTCCATGTACCATGGCCCTGCAGGAACACGCAAAGAAACCTTAGCTCTGCTCCTCAGTGAGGCTCTGAAGGGCACACTGGGTGCCTCCTTGAAAACATTTACACCTTTGAACATGTGGGTGCTGAAAGCTGCATGGGCTCCAAACTTAGAGAGAGAAATCCTGTTCCTAGAGAGGTGTTGCTGATGATGACTTTTCTGCAGAGAAGATTGTGCCAAATTGCCTCACTCCCTCATTACTCCTGACTGCACAATATTAATTACAAATTAATGTAAGTCATTCTGCAGCAAATTAAGCTAATTTGAAGTAAAGCACATTTACTACAAAGCATCCGTCCACGCAGAAAATTAGTCAAGACTGTTTTCAATTAATCTAATTAATTTCCCTGTAGGGATGATTCTTGCAGCACTGACTGTCCCTGAACTGGAGCAGTGTGCTGGTTCTCTGGAGCTGATGTAAAGCTCATTCCTGAGAGAGCTGATGGATATTTAATTACTCGTGCTTAGTGTGTAGCTGTTGGCGTGAGAACACGCAAGAGGGCACCAGCCTCTCCCTGAACAGATTACAGAGTGCAAATCCCATCAGAGCAAGGTAGGGAAATCCCACCAAAGAAACAGGATCAGCATGAATTCAAATAGCTAATTTGGGATCTGCTTTTGGAAGGAAGAAGAACACTCTGGATAATGCTGAGCAGGGATGAAGCAGCGGAATTTAGGAATATTTGCATCTTTTGAATCAGAGTTCTGGATCAAATCCAGCTGCAGAGTCCTGGTTATATGATGTTTATAGTCTGTAATAGTGGGGCAAGAAATTAATCTTTACTTCTTCCCACCTATTCTTTAATGTTCTTTTATATTGTGTATTTTTTAGTCACTGCAAATAAAGAAAGGACGATCAGCCCCAGGAAGCACTGTCTGTAGTGCTGAGGGAGGGACTTGCTGGCTGACCCAGCTCAGCACAGCCCAAGTACTTCCCTGAGGTCTTGCACAGGGACTGACCTTGTTCACGGGGTTTCCATAGGAAACTGGCCATTAATTGGATTTTGTCATATCAAACTAGTCCTCACTTCCTTCCCCATCAACAAACAAAAGGTCTCCAACATCTGTGCCCTGCCCAGGCAGAGGGGGTGGCCTGCAGTGAAGCAACCCCCACTATGGAATGTGAGGTGGGGGCATGAGCCCCCATCTCCACTTGCTAAGGGGCTGTTGGGGAGGGGAAGCACAACTGCAGCCTCTCTGGGAGGCAAAAGGGGGAGGGGGCCAAAAGAAACTCTGGATCCCAGCCTGGTCCCAGCCCCTTCAATCCTCCTGCACACACAAGCAGCTGGCACACACAGCTGACAGGCACACACAGACAGCAGCAGACATGGCCGGGGCTCACCAGAGTGAAGGGGGTGTTCAGGATGGTGATCATCACATCGGCAATGGCGAGGTTGACGATGAAGAGGCTGGTGGCAGAGTGCATCCTCTTGTTCTTGATCACCACGTGGCACACCAGGATGTTGCCGAAGAGCGAGATGCAGATGATCACAGAGTAGGCGATGATCAGCAGTGCCTTCACCATCCGGCTCTGGGACTCGCCCTCATACTTGACCCCACTGTCAAAGTCGCCCAGGTCCTCCAGGTCCAAGTCATTGTGCAAGAAGGATTGGTTAGGGAAGCCATACAGTGCAGAGAAGAAGCTGGCTGTGCTGTTGTTCTCCGCCCTCCAGAAGGGCTTGGGGAGGTACTGCAGGGGGAACCAGGTGTGCCGGCTCATGGCTGGGGCAGCAGAGCCCCGGCACTGGTCACGCTCCTCTGCGCCTTCTGCCAGCTCAGCTGCTGAAGCTGGTGGTGGCAGGAGGGAACACTTGCCTTTTGAAAATCTGCCCCGTGGTTGCAAACCAGAGAAAAGAATTGATAATCGGGTCCTTCTCCCTGTGCTGAGGACACGTCAGCTTTGCCCTAGGGGCTCTCCTTCTGCTGTCCTTTTGAAGTCCCACATGTCCCCTACACGGAAGCTGATTCGGAGGCTGAAATGTCAGAGATCCCCAAACACTTTCCCTCTGCACCAATGAAGAAATCCTACTGAATATTTCCTTTTGAACATTGTTCTTCTATCTGCAACTTATCCTTGGAAATCTGCTTTATTGGTTCTCCACACAGTCCTTCATCCATCAGGTTTCTGTTTCCCAAGAGTTTTCAGAGCTTTTCAGAATCAAAAAAGCAAGAGCTGCCTTTCCCATTGCTTTCTCCCCTCCAAGTATCTCTGACTATCCAGTGAAGCAGCTTTGCTCAGCAGCCGTGGTCGCTGCGTTCCCTGTGATATGCACAGCTGCCAGATGACACACCGTGTGGGAAGGAGCCAATGGCAGATCTCTTCCCAGTTTATCCTGAGGTGTATCACAACCCACACGTGGGCAACGGCAGAGTCTGACATGTGCAGATCTAGAGAGCAGCAAAACACAGAGAGTGGATGTGCCATGATCCCTCCCGTCTGCTCTCTCCTTTCTGGGCACCCAGCACAACACCTACATGGGGTGAAGCATCTTTACTACTTCACAGTATCACTCTTTCTCTCCATCCCAGAGTTTTTAGCAGACAGAGAACATCCAAGGATTTTCCTTTCTGGTGCTCTTTTGAAATTGCTGAAATGTCAATTGAGATGCAGATCCATCTTCTGAACAGATTTAGTGTGATCCAACGTAATCTCATCAACAGACCAGTGTGGATGAGGGCCAGAGAAATCAGAGCTGTACTATAAAATTTCAGATTTTTGGGAACATTAAAACATCAGATTTCAAGCATTTTCATAGGCCATTGCCACAGTTCAGGCCAAGGAGGACAAGTTGAGGACAAGTCCCTGGGCTTGGCAGGTTTATGTACTTCCCTGCAGTGACTTTTTCCTGCCTGACAGAGAGAAATGAGATAATTCAGCAGCTCATTGTACAACATGTAAAAGCATTCAGAGTCAAGGCTGCTCACTCTTGCACCTGAATTTAGGCTAATTTTAAAGAAATTATTTCTAAAGACATGATTCATCTCCATTATTGGAGAGAATTTAATGATGAGGCAAATCATAATAGCAATACAGCCTTTTTGCCCAGGCTGTTACCAGGGGCTCAGCAGGTACACACATTCAAATGCTTGCCCTTGACTGCTCCCATGAAGACATACAGAAAATACTTTCATTACTGGAGTATTGAGCTTGAAAACTGAATAAAATTGTCCCCACAGGTCCGTGCAGATTCTTATATCAAACCGGATTTCCTTCTATGACAAGGTGACCCGCCTGGCTGATCAAGGGAAGCCAGCTGGTGGGATCTTTTTGGATTTCAGTAAAACTTTCAATACTGTGTCCCCCAGGATCCTTCTGGACAAACTGTCCAGCCCACAGATGGATAAACACATCTTGTGGGGGGCGAGCAGTTGGCTCTCGGGTAGGGCACAGAGTGTGACAGTGACTGGGGTGACATCAGACACCTGTCACTAGTGGGGATCCACAGGGCTCCATCTTGGGCCCTGTGCTCTCCAACGTCTTCATCAGTGATTCAGACACAGGACTGGAAAGGACACTGAGGAGGTTTGCAGATGACACAAAGCTGGGAGGAGCTGTTGACTCCCTTGAGGGCAGGGAGGCCCTGCAGAGAGACCTGGACAGATCAGAGGGCTGGGAATCACCAACCATGGGAAGTTCAACAAGGGCCAGATTCTACCCCTGGGATGGGGCAACCCCGGATGTACGGACAGACTGGGAATGAGAGACTGGAAAGCAGTGCCAGGAAAGGGCCCTGGGGGTCCTGGTGGGTGGCCAGTTGTTCCTGAGTCAGCAGTGCCCTGGCAGCCAGGAGGGACATCCCTGTCCTGGGGGCATCAGGGAGGGGGATTGTCCCGCTCTGCTCTGCCCTGGGGTGGCCTCCCCTGCAATATTGGGGCAATTTGGGGGGACACAATGGAAGGAAGAGATTGAGCCATTAGAGAGTGTCCAAAGGAGGCAAAGGAGATGGAGAAGGGCCTTGGGGGGAAGCCATTTGAGGACACTGAGGGCACTTGGTGTGTTCAGCTGGAGGAGACTGAGGGGAGACCTCACTGCAGTTCCAGCTTCCTGGGCAGGGGCAGAGGAGGGGCAGGGACTGAGCTCTGCTCTGGGGGGACCAGGGACAGCACCCAGGGAATGGCCTTAAGTTGTGTCTAGGCAGGTTTAGATTGGATCTCAGGAAAAGGTTCTTCCCCCAGAGGGTGGTTAAGCACTGACCAGGCTCTCCAGGGCAGTGGGCACAGCACCGAGGTTGCCAGAGCTCAAGAAGCATTTGAATGATATTCTTAGGCACATGGTGAGACTCTTGAACATGGTCCTGTGCAGGGCCAGGACTTAGACTTGATGATCCTTGTGGGTCACTTCCAACTTGGCATGTTCTGTGATATTTCATATTTATGAGGTATGTAAAGATCTCCCAAGAGGTCACAAGAGAAATCCTGCAAATACAAGGCCACTGTATTAAAACTTTTTCTATTGCAGAAGTCCCTATCACACTCCAAATGTGCATTTTTTTCGGCTTCTTGTCGTTATCTCCATCCGTCCTTCCCTGAGTCTCACTGCTGGTGCTGAGCACAGGCTTCCCACATAATTGGGAAAGGTGAGAGCTGCTGGAGATAAAGTGCTGCTCCCACTTTGTGTCTGTTTCTGGCTCAGGACACACAGAGTTGATCCCCAGAGCACTCACCGAGAACACGCTTGGCCTCCAAGAGAATCCCCTGAACTCCTGGCCAGAGCTGTGTCGTGGAAAAGGGGAATCACACAGATCATGGCAAAGCCCAAACCGAGGTCTGCTCGTGCAACAATGAGATTTTTGGCTTGAAAAAGAAAGTATCTCTGCTCTGCCATTCAGAGCTGAAAGCAGCTGGAGCAGATGGGAAGTTTCAGTGCCTGAACCTTGTCCAGAGGGAGAAAATTCAACAGCTGAAATTGCCAAGTCCAAATGAGGAAAAATTCATTCAATGCACCTGTTGTACCAGGCAGCTTCTTGAAAGATTCCTGTTCCCTAGAGAGATTCATAGCTTACACTTTCCTGTTTTAGATACAGGTTTGATAAATAAAAAAAACAAGAGCTGTAGATTTTATTTTACTCAACCCCTGAGATTTTATTTTACTCAAAAGGTGTGTTAGAAATAAAAGTTTGGACAATACTCAGAAACCATGATGCTGAAACTTTCTTTTTTTATATTTGCTTGACTGCACTGAGGACACTGTACTCCTCTTCATTTGCAGTGTCTAGTCCTGCTTTTGTGACTCAGAAAACGTGGGATGAACAGGCATTTTGCAGGACATTTCATGGACTTGATAATAAGACTTAATAAATAAACCACATTTGGTGATAATGGAGTGAATCCCCCAGTAATGCATTAAATAAAGCAGTTCTGTCATTCAAACAGGTGCTACATTCAAAACCACAACTCTAAGTGATGCCTTTCTGTGCAGGTGTGCCAGGGTTTGGCTCCCGGGGAGGGACAGGTCCATTCAACCTGCAGCAGCACAAAGGTCACCTGCATGTTCTTGCATCTCACTCACATCACTCACCACATGCTTCCTCTCACTCCTCTCGCAGTATGTGAGAGCATTGCAGATACAACCCAGGTTTTACAAAAGGTTCTCATTTACTGAAGGCAGACTTTTAGGCAAAATCATAAAATTTACCACTCCTGATGTGGTAAATTTACCAATCTCAATGGCTTTTGTTTTTTTTCACAGAGATAAAATCCCTCTTTGTGGGATAGAATGTGGGAGGAAGGTGCTGGGCACAGACTTTCTCTGCCAGATACTGAATTACATCCCCTTGAAAGAATATTTGAGCTTTTATTCTCAGAGCTTTCCTGAAGGCAGAGTAATTGGATTCTCAAGCTGCAGACAGAGGGAAGGGACAGACAATGGAGGACACATGTGGGATACCAGGGCACTGATGGTTGAGTTAGGAGCTGGAAATGACTGAATACACTGGACCAGCCTTTCTGCAGTGAAGCCTGACATAAATTAATCACAGTGAACTGGAACATGGGAGAGAAGCTGCATGACCTTGGATCTAAATGCTGTATTGTTATGGACCATGTCCTTTCCTAGAGAGCAGCCTGGATTAGCTGAGTGTCCCTCATCTGGCAAGGGAGAACTCCCCAGAGGCAGAGTCAGTTCCTGGCCATTGCCTTTATGAAGCTCAGTACAACATACCTGACAGGTTTTCTGTGACTTCTCTAACATACTTGCAATTATTTGTGATTCCATGAGGAATTACACACACAGTGGAGACCAGCTGTAGCACATGCAGGTCACTCACAGCAAAGTGCTCAAGGCAGGTAGAGACACGTCACCCCCAACAGCGAGAAAGGACAAAGTTATATTCTAAAATGTCACATTACTCCCTATAAATGGCTGTAAAGTAAAACCAAGGGACTCTCTATCAGCTCAGGACATGGAATTTGATATGCACTAGTCCAGAAGGTTGGCCCTTGGCAAAAAAGGCTTAATGGATACAGCAGAGACAGGATGTACAGAGGTGGTGACACGGCAGCTGCCAGCCAAGGTTCATCAGGAGATGGATTCAAGCACTGCCAGGTTCAGGCAATGTCCTGAGGTTTTTTTGCTTTCCAGATGATTCAATATCAGGAGGAAAAGCCAGACAGGCTGTTCAGCAGCCAGGTCACACTGGTAGAGAGAGAGAGGAGTTGCTGTGGAAGCTTCTGTCATGTCTTTTTTCCTTAGTTTGAAGGAAACTCCTATGGGAGGATGGAGTAGACTAAAAACTGCTTTGAAGTTTCTGAAAAACAGCCAAAAAAACCCCAGTTGGACTTTACTAGCAGCTACAAATGTTCAAACAGTGATCGAGAGCTCTGGTACTTGAATAAGTGATACAGAAGATAAAGATTTGAAAGAAAACACTACTGAAGACAGATGCTGTGAGCCTTGAACACGCAGTTACGAAACCTGCTTGTGAACAACAGCTTTCTTTTTCAGAGAGTGAAAAGGATTCTGCAGGCAGGGTTCTGCACGTTGCATTTGTGTTCTGAAAATGCTGTTTTTTCACTGAAAATCTGAATGAAAACCAGGACATAAACATCATCAAAAACAATCTGAAGTTTTAGCTATGGACGATCAATTTTACCCCATTCAATTAAAACTATAATTTAAAAAAATTGCTTTCCTTCAGAAGCAAGTATTTCTCTGCAATAACAAAATTTCCAGCTTCAGTCTCTCAGCCCAGACTTCAGTTACTGAGTTGGGTCTTGGTACAGAGGTGGAGGAGGCAAATGCCTCTGAGTGACACGGCCCCGTGCAGGGAGGACGTCCTTCAGGGATGAGAGTGGTGGT